ACAATGACGGCTGCAACCAAAAAATAGCCGGGCGTTGTGGCGGGCGCCTGTGGTCCCAGCTACTTGGGAGACTGAGGCAGGAGACTCCCTTGAGCCCAGGAGTTGGAGGTTGCTATGATCTGTGATGCCATGGCACTCTACCTAGGGGAGTACATAGTGGGACAGCTTGAGGGTATGTCTCAAAAAAAAAAAAAAAGATAAACAAGCATTGTTACTTTGGTTTGGGAAGTGTTTGAGAGGAAGGGCTCTGGTGTTAGAGTACTTAGGTTCAAATCCTGGTCTTGCCCTTCATTAACTCTTGACTTTGAGTCAGGAAACTTACAGTCCTTATCTATAAAGTGAGCATTATAATCCTGATTTCATAGGAATGTGTAAAGGTGAGTAAGTGAAGGTAAAGCATTTAGCATAGTCATTTTTATTTTGTAAGCATTCAGTGTTAGCTATTATTTACCCTTTTTCCTCTCTTAGGATACAGAAATAACTTTGATATGGGGTATATGTCTTTTTTTTGTAAAGTGGAATATGAATTTACTCTAGTTTAAAGTATGTACTGAGTAAGAGACTGCGTATAAATACCTAATGTTGAAGACTTGGAAAAACAGAGGTGTATATGTATACACACATATACATACACATATATTTTATAACATATGCATATATTCACACACACTACATGGTTTGAGTCATATTGTATAGAAAAATACATTTAAATCCTGCCACATTTATATTTTTAATATTTCCAATGTTGTTAAAAATTCCTCAGATAAGTTATTTTTAATAAAACAATCCACTGGGCTCAGCACCTGTGGCTCAAATGGCTAAGGCGCCAGGTACATACACCTAAGGTGGTGGGTTTGAATCCAGCCCGGGCCTGCCAAACAACAATGATGGCTGCAACCAAAAAAATAGCCAGGCGTTGTAGGAGGCACCTGTGGTCCCAGCTACTTGGGAGGCAGAGGCAAGAGACTTGCTTGGGTCCAGGAGTTGGAGGATGTTGTGAGCTGTGATGCCACAGCACTCTACCCAGGGGGACAGCTTGAGGCTCTGTCTCAAAAAAAAAAAAAAAAAAAAACAATCCACTGAATGACTTTACTTTTTCAGACTGGCCCCCAGAAATGAAATTACTATGTTAGGAAATATGAACCTCTTTTAGACTCTTAATATATGCCACATTGCTTTTCTAAAATTTTGTACCAATTTTTATTTCTAGCAGTGGCCTATCCTTATATTCTCAGTATAGTATTACTGGGTTCTAAAAAGTATGGGTGGCTTGTCAAAGCCCAGTTACAACAGCAAGGCAAAATTGCATTAAAGCCCAGGGAATTGTGTGTGTGTGTGTGTGTTTTTAAAAACTTTACGTATACAATATGGGAATATTTACCAGTCTTTCTGCATTAGTTTGTATGTATGTATATATAAAACAACTTGAATATTCTGGAGGAATAGATTGAGCTGTTTTCTGGGAACTTAAGATATAAGGCTATCATGGACACATAGGATTACGGAGGGTAATATGTACACACACATATATGTAAATTATTCACTTCTTAAGCTGTATTTCAAAAGCAAATAGGAAAGTAAAAGTTATATATATCAGGCTTCAGACTGATTGAGCCTTGTTTACCTGTCAGCTGCACAAAAATAAAACATTGGCTTACATTATTCTAAATAGCACATGAAAAACTATTGTTTGGTAATAGTGGAAATTCAGATTTCATGTTAATTTCAGTGATTCAGTCCTTATATACCTTAATATTCCTTATCTTCTGCCACATGGAAAGTACTGTTTTAAGATGCTGCCCATCAGTGGATGATTCATTTTGTCCCATACATGGCAGGTTTACCTAATTCAAGAAAGAGGTCCGTATTTGGTTTAAGGGGAATTGTACTTTGGAAATATACTTTGGAATTGTACTTTGGAAATGGTTATTTTTTTTGGAGAGGGTGGTGATCATGGTGGTAGGGTTAGGGAAAGGACCAAGAGAAGAATATCAGGAGAAATAAGAAAAAGTAGTCATGGGTTCTATAAATCCGTTCTCACACTGCACCGACATTCAGTACACTTTAGTAAAATGATACTGCATTAATATTACCACTGAAAAGTTTTTTTCCCTAGATTACCTGCACAGCTCAGTTAATTCAGATCAGAAAAGTTATTTTACCTTTTTATTTAAAATTTGTAACTACCAGGTCTCATTAGTGTGTTTATTTAGCACATATTTACCTGAACACTTAGCTCTGTAGGAAGCACTGTTTTATGTTAAGTTTTGTATGCAGACAACTTTAGGGTAATATTTGGCTTCAGTTTTTATATTGCAAAATTCTAAAACCAGGGGAATCTTGTGATGAAGTTTCATTCCTCATAATATGGGTGTGATTTCTTGTGTTCTAAAAAAATTTATAGTCTCTCAATTAGCAATTTGTTTTCCTTTTCATTGCATTTTAATATTTACTATTTGTAAAACATTAGTTTTTAGGAAAAAAAGATTTTTTTAAGTAGATGATGGTTTAAGTGAATACGTTTCATGTGTTTTCAAATGAACCAAATTTCATTATGAGCAAATTGGGGGAGCCTAATTTCTCAGAGACTAGCATGTTGTATTGTTTTCTAAATACTTGTTTAGTGTGTTCTCTGGCACTCCTGTAAAGAGAAAAAGACGAAGTCGGTCTCAGAAAAGTAGTTGGAAGCTCCTTACTTTTAAGTAATGCTTTAGAATATTTTCTAGGTATGACTTTTGTTGGTGTTCCTGTTTTAAAGTGCACATCTTTGAGGTGAACTGG